TCATGAGATTGCAGTAATTCAGTCACATCTGAGGCTCCACATCTAATTCTAGTTCTCTTGCTCTTTCTACCACATCTGCAGTTACTTTCTCCACTGAAGTCTCGAATTGCTCAAAGTCATCCATGAAGGTTGGAATCAACTTCTTCCAAACTCCTGTTAATGTTGATATTTTGACCTCCTCCCATGAATCACAAATGTTCTTAATGGTATCCAGAATGATTAATCCTTTCCAGAAGGTTTTCAATTTACTTTGCTCAGATTCATCAGAGGAACCACTATCTATGGCAGCTAAGGCCTTTCAAAATGTATTTCTTAAGTAATCAGACTTGAAAATCAAAATTATTCCTTGATCCAAGGCTGCAGAATGGATGTTGTGTTAGTGGGCATGAAAACAGCATTAATCTCTTTGTACATCTCCATCAGAGCTCTTAGGTGACTGAGTGCATTTGTCAATGAAAGAAATCTTTTTTTTCTAAGCAGTAAGTCTCAAGAGTGGGTTTAAAATATTCAGTACATCATGCTGTAAATATCTAGGCTTTGTTGTTCTCTTTGTAGAGCATGGGCAGAGTAGAATTAGCATAATTCTTAAGAGCCCTAGGATTTTGAAAATAGTAAATGAGCATTGGCTTCAACTTAAAGTCACTAGCTGCATTAGCCCCTTACAAAAATGTCAGTCTGTCCTTTGAAGCTTTGAAGTATTGGCTTCTCCTCTCTAGCTATGAAAGCCCTGGATGCCATCTTCTTCTAATAGAAGGATGTTTCATCTACATTGAAAATCTGTTGTTCAGTGTAGCCACCTTCATCAATTATTGAAGCTAGATCTTCTGGATATCTTGCTGCTTCATCTTGTACTTTTGTGTTCTGGAGAAGGCTTCTTTCCTCAAACCTCATGAACTAACCGCTGTTAGCTTCCAGCTTTCCTTCTGCAGCTTCCTCACCTCTCTCAGACTTAGTAGAATTGAAAAGAGTTACAGCCTTGCTCTAGATTAGGCTGGTTATATCTTCTATCCAGATCACTACACCTTTCTCCATATCAGCAATAAGGCTGTTTGCTTTCTTATCATTCATGTGTTCTCTAGTGTAGCACTTTTAATTTCCTCTAAGAACTTTTCCTTTACATTCACAACTTGGCTAACTGTTTGGTGCAAGAGGCCTAGCTTTCAGCTGGTATTGGCTTTTGACATGCCTTCTTCACTAAGCTTAATCATTTCTAGCTTTTGATTTAAAGTCAGAGACATGTGACTCTTCCTTTCACTTGAACACTTAGAGGCCACTATAAGGTTATTAACTGACCTAATTTTATTATTGTTGTGTCTCAGGGAATAGGGAAGCCTGAGGAGAGGGAGAGAGTTGGGGGAACAGCTGGTAGGGGGAACAGTCAGAACACACAACATTTATCCATTAAGTTTGCTGTCTTACGTGAATGTGGTTCGTGGCACACCAAAACAATTACAATAGCAACCTCAAAGATCACTGGCTGGGCACGGTGGCTCACACCTGTAATCCTAGCACTCTGGGAGGCTTAGGCAGGAGGATTGTTTGAGCTCAGGAGCGAGAACAGCCTGAGCAAGAGTGAGACTCCGTCTCTACAAAAAATAGAAAAGTTATCCGGGCATGGTGGTGTGCACCTGTCTTCCCAGCTACGCGGGAGGCTGAGGCAGGAGGATCGCTTAAGCCCAGGAGTTTGAGGTTGCAGTGATGTATGGTGACGCCACTGCACTCTAGCCACGGCAACAGAGCGAGACTCTGTCTCACAAAAAAAAAAGATCACTGATCACATAACAGATGTAATGAAAAAGTTTAAAATGTTGCAAGAATTACTAAAATGTGACATAGAGACATGAAGTGAGCATGTGCTGCTGGAGAATTGTTGCCGATAGACTTGTCCCACACAGAGTTGCCACAAACCATCAGTTTGTAAAAAAAAAAAAAAAAATTATCTGCGAAGTACAATAAAGTGAAGTGCAATAAAACAAGGTATGCCTGTGTAGCATTCATCTGTGTCCTATAATATTATGAGACTTTTTATACTGTGAAAATATTGGAAGGTCTGTTTTGGGAATAGAATTTTAGTGGTCCTTATGATAAATTATATATTAGTTTCTCATATATCTTTAAAGTCTTTAGGAAACATTGTTATTTTAATAAGAACATTATACTCAGCTGTAGATGGTGAAGAATTAGCTACATTTCTATTTCCGAAAAGTAGAATGGTTTCACATTCAAAATTATTACCCAAAAGTATCAGGATTTTGTTCATGGCATTTAAAGATAGTTAAATATCTACCACTAACCCCATACAAACACTACTAAAATTTTGAAAGAAAAAGATATTAAAACCTGTTGTTGAATGAAGTATTTTGAATGTTTGGAGTAAAACTAGTATAAACTGATACACCAATACAGTTCAACCTCCCATCTTCTTAATTGCCAAGTGGCAAAAACTTGCACCTTGTTTTTCTTTCCTCAGAGTGGATTTTTCTTCTGTTTCTGCCCTTTTGCTTACTTCTCCTCTTTCTAAGAGACAGCCTCCTCTGTGTCTGCGTTCAGTGAGTGCTTACTTGGCAGGGGGTAAAGACAGGAAATAGATCCTCTTCACTAAAGACACAAGTATAAAAATGTCTCTCCATCATTACAGTGAAGGAAAAGGCTTTCTGCTCGGGAGCCCTCCTTGCAGAGTGACATCTTCTTTGAGGTTGATACAAGCACACTGCTGCCATTTTAGTCATATCCTTTGCTATCCAGATGAGCAAAAGGCTTTACATATCCAATCTGTGCAATGGTTAAGTTACATGGGGGTGGAGGGAAGTCAGGAATCCCATCATACCATTGTCACATCCAGGTGTTCGTGCTGGACTGGCATTGCTCAGCAAAGCCCAGCCTTGAGGTACTTTCAGGTCCTTGTTGGATGAAGACAACATAGCAAGAACTGTGGTTTTACTACTATTTTTAAAGATCTGAGTTGTCCTAAGGATTGACTTATTTTTTCTCAGTACACTTGGGTAAGTTCTTGGCTTCGTGATTTTTTCTTTTTTCTTTTAAAGCTCTGTTCTTTCCTGGGTAGCTTGAAATCTCTTTATCTACAAGTAAGGTTTTCCCTCATCCCTCTCTGCTCATCCTCGACTTTCTTTCTTTAACGTACTACTCTCTGTTTGGTTGTAAAGCTCCAACAAATGAATAACCCTCATTTGAGGAAATGTTCACTGGATCAGTTCCTGCTGGTTTTCCCTCATCAGAACACAACAGATTGCTGTTGAGTTTTGAATGTCACCAACAGACAGATGATAATGGCTTAAGATGGATAATGAAATGTTTGAAACACAGATGGGCCTGTAAATCAATTTTCTTTTTCTTAGGATTTCCTTGTGACATAAAGAATTAATGTAATTAATACTGTTTTATACCAGTATCCCTCGTTCACGGTCTCCCTGTGACCCTGTTGTTCAGCTACTACATTAATCTGTCTTTGGGAAAGATGCTTCATTGCCTGATAGATGCTCTGTGCGGTTACCTGGTAGGAGAAAGGCTACCTTGAAGATTTTACTGAAAGGTGCTTATTTGAAAACCAAATAATCCATAGAGCACTCAGCGGCCTTGATCTCTAAGGGATTACCTGACAATTCCATATGCAGCACTCAAGCTATGGGGAGATTTGAAGTACAAATTAAGAGAAGTACATGAAATTCATAATAAGGATTTTTATTTTAGGGCTATCAGTAACTATTTAAATGCACTTTGGTACCTATAGGAGAAGAGAAACTAAATTAAATAGAAAAGATTTTTTTAAAAAATTACAATAGTCAGGGGGGTGAGGGAACAAGTGATAAATTATGGATTTTTATTTGCAGATAACAAGCCTCTTTCTGTTTTATCTCCAGCATCTGTCACTGGTCAAGATGATGGTGGTGGTCATTCTGTGTTCACCCCAGACCACTACTCTACACTAGGAAGGCTTGATAGCTATCGGTCTGCTGGGCAGCGCTCAGAAACCAGGGACTCCAGCTGTCAGACTGAGGACGTAAAAATCGTGCCACCATCAATGAGAAGAATCAGGGCACAGAAGGGGCAAGGCATTGCTGCCCAAATGAGCCACTTCTCGGGCTCCTCTGGCAACATGTCCGTGCTGAGCGATTCTGCGGGTATCGTGTTCCCTTCTCGCCTCAACAGCGATGCCGGTTTCCACAGTCTGCCACGTTCTGGAGCAAGGGCGAACATTCAGTCCCTTGAGCCGAGGCTGGGTGCCCTGGGCCCTGCAGGAGACATGGATGGCAGTTTCCCCTACGAGGGGAGTAACCCACAAGTAGATGAACACTTAGGACATTTAGGAGGTGCCTCAAGGACTGGAAAACTTTTGAGGCCCAAATCCCAGGAGCTGAGGCACTTGGAGAGTGAAAATATAACAAGCCCAGCGTGTGTGGTTTCTCCTCATGCGACGTATTCCACCAGCATCATCCCAAATGCTACACTGTCTTCCTCTTCAGAGGTCATTGTTATTCACCCTGCTCAGAATGCAGGGCTTTTGGACAGTAAAATTGCCAGCTCATCCTCATATGCAAAAATAAAATCCAGAGACCACCTCATCCCCAGGCATGCTGTGAAAGATGACCATCAGCCTCCCAGCTATTACTGGAATGAGGGTCACCCCGCCATTCTTTCTCAAGCCTTAGACACCCATTCGCCCAGTGCAGCCACACTGTTGTCCCTCTGTGATTCCACGGTCTGTCTAAATGCCCCAGCAAATAGGGAGAATGGGTCCCAAGCTGTGCCATATCACTGTAGAAACAGCCTGCGCTTCCCAGCCCACCCACAGGATGTGGATGGCAAGAGCGAGTCTAGTTATTCAGGGGGTGGAGGGCAGAGCAGCTCGGAGCCCTGGGAATACCAAGCCTCAGGTAATGGGCGGGCATCCCCACTGAAGCCACATGTGGCAACTCCTGGGTACTCCACTCCGGCAAGTAACATGAGCAGCTGCAGTTTGGACCAAACGTCCAACAAAGAGGATGCAGGGTCGCTGTATTCCGAGGACCATGATGGCTGCTGCACGTCCATGCACACCGACTCTGGACGTGGATCTGGGAATCTGTGCAATAGCAGCGATGGCTTTGGACACCCCAGGCACAGTGTGGTCAATGTGTTTGATGGAAGAGCTCAGAAAAACCAAGGGGACCGGTCAAATTGCCATGATAAATCCCTTTCGAGAAACATCTCTCTGAAGAAAGCAAAGAAGCCTCCCCTGCCACCCTCCAGGACAGACTCCCTCCGTAGGCTTCCCAAGAAGAACGGCCAGTCTAACGGGCAGGTGCTCAACGAGAGCCTGATCGCCTCGCTCCAGCACTCGCTGCAGCTGAGCCTGCCGGGCAAGGGCGGCAGCTCGCCCTCCCAGAGCCCCTGCAGTGACCTGGAGGAGCCCTGGCTGCCCCGCTCTCGGAGCCAGAGCACGGTCAGCGCCGGCAGCAGCATGACGTCCGCCACCGCCCCCAACGTCTACTCCCTGTGCGGGGTCACGCCGTCGCAGAGCGACACCAGCAGCGTCAAGTCGGAGTATGCAGACCCGTGGGGCTACTACATCGACTACACGGGCCTGCAGGAAGACCCGGGCACCCCAGGAGCGGCACGCTCGGCCAGCAGTGGGGCGCCCGCTGGAAACGGGCCGGTCCGCCACGCCCAGGAAGGGCCCAGGGCCGCCTTGCCCCAAGCGCCCGGCGGTTCCGTCAAACCAAAGATCACATCGCCGGAGAAGTCACACAGAGTCACTTCTCCATCCAGTGGGTATTCCAGCCAGTCGAATACACCCACAGCACTCACCCCCGTGCCTGTGTTTTTAAAATGCGTGCCACCAGCAAACGGGAAGGGGAAGCCCAAGCCCAAGGTACCAGAAAGGAAGTCCTCTCTGATATCCTCAGTGTCCGTTTCCTCGTCGTCCACTTCTCTGTCCTCTAACACCTCGACGGAAGGCGGCGGCACTATGAAGAAGCTGGACGCAGCCTCGGCCTGTCCCCTGGGGCACCCCCCGCCTCCGCCCGCGCCCCTGCTCCTGCCTCCCCCGCCTTTGGCCGACTGTCCCGAGGGCTCTGCGCTGCCTGCCTCTCCCGTGTTCCCCCCTCCGCCACCAGAAGCTCTCGCTCTCTTCTGCTCCCCTCCTGACGGGTGCCTTCCTCCTGCCCCCACTGCACTGAGCCCCCTTCTTCCAGATTCTTCTGCGCCCTTGCCATCACCTCCGCCTTTCCCACCCTCCTTGGAGCCCCCGCCTGCCCCGCCTCTCGACCCCAAACTCATGAGGGACCCCAGGCCTTCTTTCCCCAACTCCAGCCAGCCTGACTCCTCCCGGGAGGCCTTCAGGCCGCCTTCCGCCAAGGAGGAGAGCAGCAGACCCCCCATGCCCCTCATAACCACGGAGGCGCTGCAGATGGTGCAGCTGAGGCCGGTGAGGAAGAACTCGGGCGCCGGGGCGGCACTGCCGTCTGAACCAACAGCTCAGGAAAAACGAACTCCAGTTGCTCCACAGTACCACTTAAAGCCATCTGCCTTCCTGAAATCCCGAAATAGCACACATGAAATGGAGAGTGAAAGCCAGCCTGTCTCCGTGACAAGCTCGCTCCTGACGCCTGCCAAGAGCTCGAGTCAGGGTGACCATGGCAGTGCAGCCGAGCACGGCGGCCCGCCGAGCGCCGGGGAGGCAGAGGCTCGGCCCGGCCCCAGGACCGGCCCGCTCCCCGACTCCTCACCCAGCAGGAAGCCACCACCCCCCATTTCCAAGAAGCCCAAACTGTTCCTGGTGGTGCCACCTCCGCAGAGAGATTTTGCAGCGGAGCCCGCAGAGAACGTGAGCGAAGCCCTCCGAGCCGTGCCCAGCCCCACGAGGGGAGAGGAGGGCTCTGCACACTGCAAAGAGACGACAGAGAGTTCTGCAGCCCGAGCTGGCTTTCATGCGACGCACCCCAGCAGCTTGGTTGGTGAGGGAGGAGCTGCAGGATCCGTGTCCCCCGGCAGAGTGGAAGCCAATGCCCCCATGGTACAGCCTGATGCCTCGCTTGCCGCCCAGCAGGAAGAGCCACCCGAGAACAGCACGGATGGTGGTGACAACGTGGAGAGCTGCCTGTCTCGACAGGATGAAGGGGGTGAGTCTGGCTTCTCTCTCCTGTGCCCTGTGACCCTATGCAGCTGAGCCAGGTGGGGCTGTCCAGTGCTTCCACGTGGAACTCGGGTAGATCCGATTAGATTTACATTAAAGCCAGCATTATGTGGGCTTCCTGTACTACTGCACAGAGTAAGTTACCAACTTTGTATGTTTACGAATTTTTTTAAAAAATCTAGACCTAAAGGAATGGCAGAAAATTGGGGGATGGGGATGATCTGTGGCAGGCTGGGTGTTAAATAGCAGTGAGTAATCTCCCTTCTGAAGAGCTGCAAAGAAATGCTGCAACAAAATTGGAGAGAGATTCAGCGGGAGTTCTATACTTTAACAGGGAAGAATGAGCTCTGGCTGTGGGGCTGGCGTCATTTCCCCCATCTTTGTAAACTATCAAACTACGGACCCCACCGCGTCTCCCTGTGGTCCTCACATTGTCAGGAATGGCAGGGAAGCAGCGTGTTTGGAAGCTTGGCTGAGGACTGAAATTCTAGTCACTGTGCATCTTCTGTGCCTGCTGGCTTGCTTCTCTATAGCCGGGGTGCCGCAGACCGACACGGCCGCGTCCTCAGAGGCCTGTGACTTCCCCAGGGAAGACGAGAGTGATGAGGTGATGACCCCCAGTAGACCCAGGACCACAGAAGACCTTTTTGCAGCTATTCACAGGTATCCAAAATGCCTTCTTCTTACTTTAATCTACTTTATAATTCCTTCTCCCCAAATGGCTTCTCAATTTCTTTTTGTTTCTTAAAGGTTCTTCTGTCTCTCAGTCATGGCTCATTAACTTTATTATTGATTTTTTTTTTTTAGTGGGTTTCTATAGTTTTATTTCCTCTGACTCCAGTTTCTGTTTTACCTTGTCCCACTGATTTTTATAACATAAACATGATACCTAGGCACTGCTTTTGCTGGCAGGGAATACAATGTGTCAGTCGTTAGAGTATTAACAAGACTTGGGTTACAGCAGCCTGGTCCAGCGCAGAACGAAGAATGCTGTGTTCTGTGGAGTTGGGATGCACAGACCAGCTCTACAGGACTCCTTTCCTAAGGCTGTTTTAGTCTTTTTTTTTTTTCACTTTTCACAAAATCCAGGATTTTATAGTACAATTTCTTTCACTGCTTAAATGTTTCTATAAAAGAGTACATCTTTTTTTAAGCAGGAGCAAAAGGAATTAAATTCATTTGTTACTGTATACCATTAGTGCCATCTACTGGCATCAGAAAAAGACAGCCCCCTTTGGCACTGACTGGTTTCTTTGATCTCATTAGAAATAATAAGGTAGCTAGTTATCCAATTATTTCTCAAAACAGGGCAATGCAAAATATGCATCCTTTGAAACCAACTTTAGTGGCATTTCTAGAAGTTTACACAGATGTTTCTAACTTTAACCATACTAGACACATAATAAGCACTCAATAAATATTTTCTGAATTAAATAAAACCATTTGGAATCTAACTGTTAGGAGATCCTTCCAAGACTCAAAGTATTTCATTTAATATGGAATGCATTGGGTTGCTAAATATACAGGCATATACATATTTATAATAGCAATCCTTAGAGAAGATTTGCGTTGCCTGGTTGCTTTTTGTATTACATTCTTGGTTCCAGTGAGAAAACCCGACTCTTGTGGGGCCAAATTACTGCATCCCTTTCCTAAAAATATGCCAGAGGTCTACTCTGTATTTTGTTTTGGCAGCCTTGTTAAGGCACTGAAAAACTTGTGGTTTTTCCTACTGCAGACGTAGAAATTGGTCAGTTTGTATTATTCTGTGCATGCATGAGAGAAGTAAGGCCAAGTAGGCCTCAGGAGTGGATTGCAAAGAGAAAGCAAGGACACGTGCCAATTTCTGCTGTAGCGTTGAGAATATATTAGCAGACATAGTAAAGCTCCATCTCATGTCTGCGTTTTTTTAAGGCTTTGTTTTTATATCCTTTAGCGCTTAAGCTCATAATTTAAAATAAAGAATATCTAAGTTGAAACACAGCTTTCAAATTTTATAATGCAAATTAATTCACTTTGGATTTAAAGCCAGATGGAAAATGTAGAACACCAGTTGAGGTGTGAAGTTTTTATATTTATTGAAGTAATTAGTTTTTAAGCCAGTATTAACTATTTAAGTACTTTTTATAGCCATCTTCTTTAAAAATACATATATAGATATGTATATGTGTGTGTGTGTATATATGCAAAGAATTGGTATGTTTAGATTTAATTCTCATTTTAGGGGCCATCTGCTCTTCGGAAACAACAATAAAATCCCATCTTCTTTCTTAATTCTAAATCTATAGTTAAAGGCCATTGAACTTTAACTTGATTAAAGCTTTAATCAAGTTTAGTTTTGGCTTGTTTTGTGGATCTCAGCACACCCTCACCATTTAAAAACTAAACAAAAAATCACACCGCAAGCCAATACCTAAAGGAATGAGATGAACACAGCTGCTTTTGGGGAATGACCAGTATAAGGGGTTAGGCCACGTGCCGTATGTGGAAAGATACCTCATCAAGTCCTAATTGTCATACCAACAAGTTGTGTGACTTCACTCCTCAGTCTTCAGTTACCGTCTCTGAAACCCAAAGTGGTTGGACTAGACCATTTTCTAAAGTCTTTTCCAGCTGTACAATTTGGAGATGCTGTTATTCTGTGATTTTGTCAGTTGGTCATTACTTATACTAGGGCACTGCTCTTACTGACCACCAAGCAGGACCATGGAACCAAAGTATCATAGGCCACATTCTGTAGTCCCAAAGGGCTGGAACCCCAGCAGCTCTGGCCACCCTTCAGACTCTGTATTGGGTCCTTACCACTTTCTGCCCTCTGCTTTGGTGGCTTGTGTTTGGCCAGAATTGTGGAGATGACCCTGGGAGCACCAGGCCCAGGGCAGCCAACACAGACCCATCCTCCCCTCTGCCTTGCTGTCTGGGCTATGTAAAAACCAAAGCCTGCCCTGGTGGCAAGAAAGAATAATTCTCTTCCCTATATGACATTCAAAGTTTTCTTAAGCACCTGCTATATGCCTGATACTTTATGGCTGTTACTGCATTTATCTTTATTGACAAACTATGGCCTGTACACTGTTACTCCCCTTTTTCAGATAGGAAACACGATCAGAAATTTTACTTGCCCAAGGTGACAGAACAAGGACACTTTAGCAGTGGGACCTATGTAACGCCAGAGGTTCTTTAGCTCATTTAGTCGTCACACGCCTGCGAGGTTGGTATCATCACACTCCCGTTTTATAAAAAGTGTGGAAACTGAGGTGTGGCAGGGATGGCAACTTATCCCAGGCTACACAGCTAGAAGTGGGTAGCACTCGGTTTCAGCTCTTCATCTGCACGTACAGATACCATACTCTCAACCTTTCCTTGCTGCATATTCTAGAATTTTATAGCAGGAAAAGAGACATACCCACATTTTTAATTCATTAACCATGTCGACTTTTCTTAAAGCAAATCCACCTGCGCTTAGCTGAGAGGCACACACACACACACACTGAGTTACTGTCATGAAGAGACCGGCAGGGGACCAGTTGGCTCATCAGCTGTGCCATCTCCATGTCTCTAGCAGTAGAAAACACACTGAACAGTGAGGTCCTTAGAGACTGAGGACAAGAAGTACCTGCAGGAAACATTTACTTCCCCTGATCTGCCTCTCCACTTCCCCTCGCCACTCCCGTCCCTCATTTCTTGGTCAGTGCAAGGCTCTCTGACCTTGATCCTAAAACGGATCCAGCCCCGAAGGTTCACTCTTGTTTTCTGGAAAACTGAACTTCTAGAAGTTGGCACAGGATCCTATAAAAGCTGAGGTAGACTGATTTTATGTCAAACTCTAGAATGACTGAGAATATAAAGTTGTAGTGTTGTTCTGGGACCTGGGCTGGGGAATATCTTAGAACACGGGATATTCTGGGCGTGGCTTGTCTGTTAGGCCTGTTCAAGGACTAGCACCAAACACGAAGAGTAGAAAGAAGGATGGTCAGCAAGTGAAATTCACTCAGGATTGTCCCTCTAGGAGAGTTAGATGAAAACTAGCAATTATTTAAAACTTTGGAAATGGTCTTATCTGAAGTAAGTTAATATGATGTTTAAGATTTGTTTCAAAATAATCCAGTGAGGGTGGATATAGAAGAAGGATGGCATAGTTAATGATTATCCTCGATGAGTTATGGGTTCATGTAGTCAAAGAATGTACTGTCTTTTTTTGCATGGGTGTTTTAAATTTTCCATAGTTAAAATGAGGTGTTTTTTTTTTTTTTTACTTGTGCTTTTTATTGTATGGATCATAGAGAACACACACATAAAGTAAGTCTTTTAAAGTAAGTATTCAGCCAATGGTGACCTGAGGAGGTGATAAGGAAGGGAAGTAGGATGGTCGTGGCCTACTGGGAATTAACCTTTATCTTAATGTTACTAAATCTCAGATCCAAAAGGAAGGTCCTTGGCCGTAAAGATTCAGATGATGATCACTCCCGAAACCATTCTCCCTCCCCGCCAGTGACACCCACCGGCACTGCCCCGAGCCTGGCCTCTCCAAAGCAAGTGGGATCGATTCAGAGGAGTGTCCGAAAGAGCAGCACCAGCAGTGACAACTTCAAAGCTCTGCTGCTCAAAAAGGGGAGTCGTTCGGACACCAGCGCCCGCATGTCGGCGGCGGAGATGCTCAAGAACACAGACCCTCGATTCCAGAGATCGAGGTCGGAGCCTTCGCCAGACACCCCCGAGAGCCCGTCAAGCTGCTCCCCAAGCAAGAACAGAAGGGCCCAGGAAGAGTGGGCCAAGAACGAAGGGTTGATGCCTCGGAGTCTGTCCTTCTCCGGCCCCAGGTACGGCCGCAGTCGGACTCCGCCGTCTGCAGCCAGCAGCAGGTACAGCATGCGGAACCGGATCCAGAGCAGCCCCATGACGGTCATCTCGGAGGGCGAAGGCGAAGCCACGGAGCCTGCAGACAGCAGAGCGCGCGGGGCGCTGGGCGCTGCCAAGGGATGTCCGCTGGACGGACTGGCGGGGGATGAGATGGACGAGGGCAGTCCGCTCTGCGCCGAGGCGCCTGGCGCCTCCCTGCGGCCACAGGCCCCCGGCCCCGCAGATGGGACAGCCAGTGCAGAGGACAGGGAGCCGTCAGAGCAGCGCGGAGGTTCTCCGAGGGAGGAGAGTTAGGGACAAGAACGTGACTCTCCCGGGTGATGGGGGAGAGAGGAGCGATGCATCGCTCTAGGAAGCCTGCTAGGTGCCCTTGCCTGGCTTGCACGGGGGTCCCACTCGCTGTGTGTGCCGTGGCCCCAGCGTCGCCAGCCCTGCAGTGTGAGCGGAGGGTTATTTAGGACTCACTTGGCACTTGCCCTGTGGCTTAAAAGCAAGTAGAAGCTTAAACTTCTGAAAGTGCTTCCTGGGGAAGATTTTTTTTTTTCCTAAATACTGGGGGTGTGTCAAGGGTGTATGAGGGTGTGTGTGCATTTTGAACACTTTTGATTTTTAAAAAATACACACACACACAAACAGCACGTACAGAAATAGGAGAAAGCAAGCCAGAGTTAGGCTCGGTAGAGTAAGCTGGGAGTCTTCTGGACTAGGTGGTAACCGCTTTCAAAGCATTTTGTTTATGGAAACTTGTGAGTTCCATGAGAAGGGAGAAGACGTTGCTTCTACGAAAGAGGCGGTAGATTTGCTGGTTCTTGATGCACAGAACGCGTGGATGTATGCACATGTGTGCTGCGGGGTGGGCTGTCCCGATGAGCGCAGAGAAGCTGGGAAAGGGCTAAGTGACTAATTGGTTCAGGTACTTTTTTTCTGGGGGGGAATAGGCTTTGTTTCCTTTTTTGTAAACATGACACACGTCAAAGTGGCAACGCTGTAACTTGGTGCCTGCTGCTGTGCAGCCACATACACACAACTTTTAGCCTGATTTTTAGAAGCGTGGGGAATTTTTAAATGCATTTTCTTCTTGAGTAGCAGCTGAGGCCTTCTTTGAGAACGGAAGTGACCTGCGGACATACAGACAGGGAGAGAGAGGAGAGGGGGAGAGGGGTAGGTGATACACTGCTGGAATTGGTTTCCTGACTAATAAATAAAATTATTTTGCAGAATTAAATTTGAAAACTTGCACTACCGAACTGTGGGTGGAGCTTTTCCTTTTACAACAGTTTTTTGTTTTTTTTTTTTTTACCAGAGTTTAAACTTCCATTTGGCAATTTCCTATCACTTGAAATGTCAACATTTGCTAACTTTTGGATATCCTTTTGGTTACACCAAAGAAAAGTTATGGCTATTTTTCTGTCCTTGAATTGCCTGCAGTATCATGTCCTAATTTAGAAAGGTTTATCAAAATCTATTATATATATTATCTTACTTTGAAGAAAATGCTGAATAGCTCTGTTAGTCAAATAAACTGATAAAAATTGGTAGGGCTTGGCTATTATTTAGCCCTGGGAAATGAGTTTTTAGATTAAAAAGGGGTTTTTTTTTTTGCATCATTTGTTTTGTGCATTTTTAAATTTGTTTTTAAATAATTGAGTTGCTAATTACCTTCTAATCTCCAATCAGAATTTCAACACTTTTAGATGTGGGAGAAAATTATGTAAAGTCTTTATTTTAATGTAATATTCCTGTGACCCACACCCTCCCTCCCTCCCTCCCTCGCTCCCTCGCTCCCTCCCAACTTCCGTGTATTTTGGCTCCCTTATTTGTTAGTTAAATAAGCCAGAGTCTTGTCTTTTCTTCATTGGAAGGACCTAGGATGATAATGCTGAGATTCTTGGTTTAAATCCAGTGTAGTTACCAAATGGCCAGTTTTTTCAGTATGAAAATATCATCTAACAATTGGACTGCACAGGTCAAGTCATCACGAGGCTTATAAAATAAAACTTTAGGTACCTATTTTAGACATGTCTTAGAAGCAAAAACAAACCTAAAAAATTAAGACTCTTTCCCTCCTCTGAAGAAAACAAAACACTTCTTTCACACAACCGGAAATCAAGACCTACCATTTGGAGCGATTGTCTACTACATTGGCATAAGGATTGTTTCTTCTAAATTTTAGGAAAGTGGTGTTGGCTTTTGATTATGAAATCTAGTAGCTACCTAAAAAAGATTAGAATGGACATGGCTATCAGAAATCTTTAACTTAATATAAAAATCTTTTATTTGAAGGTAAGATAAGCAACATCAAAACTAATTATAAAACTATTTAAAAATTTCCATTCTTAAAGAAAAATATCTATTAGGTTTTAAATTTGCTTTGAATAAAACAATTTTAAAGTAAATATTTGAAACTTATTTCCTTTTGTTTGTACATGTGTTTTTTTGGCTAACGAGATAGGTCATCTTGTGCAGAATTGTTGAGTGCTTTGCTTGATACTAACAGAACAACAGCATTGAGACCAGAAGGTCCCTGTGGGAGGTGGGGACCCAACAGAGAGGAGAGAGAACATCACAGACACTGGTTGGTGCCATTTAAAAGGACCCATGGAGAAACAACTCCAAATAATGTCCTATGGACTTTAGAATAAAATACAAATAACGTATTGACTGGCCGTTCAGATGATATGGCGTGTGGAGAGATGTGAGAACTTTTCTCAGGCATGGATGACATACAGGGAGACAAGAAACTAGACTTTTCCCTGAAACATATTGCATCTTCAGCTTTGCTACTCGATTCCTCTGTGGGGCTCCCTTCTGTTTGTGGACTGTATCTCGTTCAAAAGCTCCATGAGGGTAGACTTGATAGCTCTCCTTATACCCCAAGGCTTTAAGTTGCAGATAATCATAGAAGCCCCAGGACTAAATTACATCCACTTTATTTTTTCTAAGAGTTGGGAGAGAAACAAGTGACCAGTTTGGCTGTCAGTTGGAAACAGCCTCAACTTTAGTCTGATTTCTGCCCTCCTACTATTTCTGAAGAATCTTGATTGAATTCTGCTGCTACTTGTGTGAGAATGAGAGTATATTCATTTGGAGAATCACAATGACAAGGCAAGAAAAGGAGGCATTTTTGTGTCCCAATCTCTTCCTCACCTGCAGATGGCGCCCCCACTCTGTGGGTATCCCAGGAGGAGAGGACAGGGAACCGCTGGATTGGCTTCCTTGGTTCTGCCTTAGTGTTTTCAGCCTCCACGTGAATAATTGTAAAACTCAGATTGCATCATAAAATGAGCATAATGGGATAATGTACTTTGGTGGCTATGAGGAGACTGCTGGGGGGAAAAGAGGGTCTTTTGAATAAAACATGGACCTGAATCTTGAGGTCCATTTTCCTTCATAAGCTACTTGGTAACCATCACAGTTTTTCTCAATGAGCTGCTCTACACTACTACCTTCCACAGGGGCCAGCTTTATTCACACAACAAGGCTAGAACAATCTGTAGTCACTGTTTAGCGATGGGAAAAAAAGCCCTTTAGTAAATACTTTTTGTGTATTTACTGGGTAAGGGCGAGGGGGTCCTACCATAGAAGAATGTGGATGAGCTATCAATAAAGGAGTCAAACCTAGTGAAAAAGACACACAATTATCCTGCAAAATGTATACCAACATCAGAGTAGATCCAAAGGAAAAGCACTCTGGGCTCTGGCAAACCCTGCTGGAACCTCACCCAACATTGATCACCAAGGGGTGAAATTGTTCAGGCTGGCAGCGCAGCCAGACAGAACACTGTACCCCTAGCTTCCTTGTGGTCACCAGGGCCATGGACACAGTTTTGGCCCAATGAGACATGGGTATAGTCTTGGAATTTCTGGGAAGCTTGCCATCCCCTCCTCTTGTGGCTTCCTTCCTCCTGTTTCTTCCTATGATGGGTAGGAGGCTGGAGGAGGAACAATAATCCCACAACCTACGAGGCACCAGTGAGGATGGAAGCCATGTACTGTGAGTGGCAGAGGAGAAAGCAGCTTGGTCTGTTGACAGCATCCAGAGTTACTGCGCCAGCCATAAGCTGTCCACCTCCAGACCCATTGGGTAAGTCATTTTTCGCTTGCTTCACAGTTGAATGACATGTTCTCAGAGGAAGATGCCATTGCTTCTGAGTGGGCAGATGGGAGGGTTTGGCTGTGGTGAACCTGAGCTAAGACGTTGTGGGTGAGGAGGATTTCACCCAGCAGGGACAGCTGGCAGAAGAAAGACATTCCAAATCAGGAGGGTAGCATGAGCAAAGATACAGGCAAGTGCTTAGAGGAAGCCATGTAGTTAAAATAGGAAGTCTAGAATAACACAGTGGGACGTGAGACAGGAAAGGTCATCTGGTGCCAGAATGTCAGGGGGCCTGGGATGTCGTCCCAAGAAATGTGGGTTTTGTTTCATGGTATGGGGAAACAATGAAGGTTTTTAAGAAGGAAAATAATGGGACAGGGCTTGGTTCTTGGCCCTCTTAAGCTATACTGTCCCTTGGTGAATTTATATTATCCCATAGTGTTAGATAAACGAAATATACTGGTAACTCCCAAATATCTCTTGTCTGGACTGCCTTCATGAATTCCAGATTAGTATACCAACTGCCTACTGAAAATCTGCACTTAGAGGTGTTTCAAACTTAATACAGTCATGCCTCTCTTAAAGATGTTCCTGAGAAATGCATCATTAGGTGATTTCATCATTGTGCGAACATTACAGAGTGTACTTAGACCTATATAGTACAGCCTACTATACTCTTACACTAGATGGTATGGCCTATTGCTTCGAGGCTACAGACCTGCACAGCATGTTACTGTATTGAATACTTTAGGCAATTGGAACACAATGGTAAGTATTTGTGTATCTAAACATAGAAATGGTACAGTGAAACTAAGGTGTTACAATGTTATGGAACCACTGTGGTATATGTGGTCTGCCATTGACTGGCAGCATCATTGTGTAGGGTTTGACGGTAGAGCCAAACCCTACTTTCCTGAAATCCCTTCCCTTATCACTTAGTGGCATTACCATTCACACAATGGCTCAGGCTCCAAACCTAGGGGCATCCTGTGGCCTCTTTCCTCTCCACCCCACATCTAAAACCGTAAGCAAGTTAAATCAGCCATACTGCCAAGCCATATCACAAATCCAATCACTTCTCCCCAGTTCCACTGCTACTGCTCAGGACCAAAACATCATCTCTTGACCAAACTGTTGGGAAAGATTCCCAACTGGCCTCCCTGCCTTTACTATGCATCTTTGACCATTCTCAGCTCAGCACACAAAATAATTCCTAGCACCCCCTGCTTGAAACCTTTCGAAGATTGCATGTTACAGTTACAATAGAATTTGAACTCCTTGCTGTTGCCTGCACCACCTTTGAGATCTGCCACTGTTTCCCTCACTCATGAAGATTGGGCCTCATTTGCCTTCTTTCTGTCCCTTGACAGAAGCCACTTCCTGCCTTAGAGTCTTTAACTATTGAAAATAAAGTTCTTATATTCCTCTACCAGTTTAGGTTCTTCAGGCAGTAGACACTGAGACAGAGTTAATGGAGTGTAACAACACTAGAGGGCAAAAGGAAGAATCAGGATTAGGCAGGGAGAGCATGAGACTGCCATCCCAGTGGGGACATGGGGAAAAAGGTCATCTTTGGAGTAGTCCTATGTTGGACTGAATGGCTAGGTCCTTGTACCACTGCCTTGCTTGGTCTCTGGCAAGAGGCCACCCTGAGTAAAACATCCTCTTGATTTCCATAGTTTAGTTAGATCTTTGGCCACCAACCCCCCTACCTTGAGAATAGCATGAACTCAGCTTGAAAGCCAAGGAGGACACTGGAGGCTGTCAGCTGCCCACGCTTCTCACAACTGGTTGGCCAGTCTTTTCTTGTAGGGTGATCTAAGTGACACATCTCCATGCCTGCCCCAGTCCACCCCTTTCCCCAAATGGATCCACCACTCCATACACATGCAGAGAGCAGCTGCCCTGGGGCTCTGATGGACCTCTCTTCCTGGGGAGAAATTTTACAAAACAGGAGTTTGGTGGCACCAACTATAGCACCTTCCTGCAATTGGTCCTGAGGCTGCAATGGGTCCTCATCATTGCTCCCTCCATTCCAAATTCCCCTCACCCTCAACTATCATCTCTGCTGGTGTTGGTGTCTTTCTTGATGGTGTGAACCAAGCTCTCATTCCTGTGGGGCCTGAGCTCCTGAGAGCCAAACCCTTCTCAGACCAGTGTTGCTACATTTGTCCATTCATAGTTTCCACTAGGCAAGGAGAACATAGATGTCTCCAGTGGGCCAGCTGAGTGCACATGCTTTACTCCCTGTCCCCATCATCTAACAGCTGGCTTACCTCTTCTTGCAGTTCAGGGTTAATTACCCCTGACTACATGGTACTTCTTGCCTACTGGTCCCTGGACACAAAGGGGCCAAAGTGCCCAAGTGGCAGCAGTAGACTGTAGTTCCATGGGACTCTTGCTATATTGCCCAGGGAGGGCATACACCCTTTGTGAACAAGGACTTCTGACCCTGTAGAACCAGAGTTGGGGGAATGGGAAGAACTAAGTACCTCAGTGGTTCATTGGACTTGATGGTCGGTAGGGTCATTTCTGCCAGATCACGATTCAAGCTACTAATCTTTTCATATCTGTCACTTCTGAGTCTACTTTTAATGATCTTTTAT